CACACACAGACACAATTATTGTCGATCCCCAGGAAAATATTTGGGGAAATATGGGAAGTGTGGGGGGGAAGACGAAAATCCAGAACATGTGAGAAAGTATGGGGAATCCTTGGCTTGTGTCCATTGTTTTGTGTGTCCAAGGGCCCCTTCAAAGCATTCCTGCCTCTCCACTTCGAGAGGCGTCCCCCCTTGGAAGACCGGCACCGCGTGGGCCTGTCATGCGGGCGAGAGAGAGAGAGAGAGCCCCGCTCTTGAAGACGAACTTTGTTCTCTCCATGCGCTCTTCCACCCTTCCAGCCAGCGTCAAGTCGAGCTTGTCTCTCTACAGGAGGAATCTCCAAACATAGTTTCAAAAGTCGCAGCGGGACGATTTTTTTGGCCATGTTTGGCTATTCTTGGGCATTTTTTGACCATTCACTTTTCATCCCAAATCCACCTGTAGGAGGACACGCCCGAATTAAAGCCAGCATTAAGGAACGCGCAGGGGTAAGACCACGCAGTTTGGCGAGGGGCAAGCGATATCCCCGCTCTGGAAAAGAGGCCGTTCACATCTGCGTCACTCTTGCACAATGTTTTCTAGTCTGGCCATGAGCAGCGAGGACGCCTCAAGCGAGAGACACATTGTGAGAAGCGAACCGCCATCCATGCGTGGAGTTGCACCATCTATTCAAATATGTTTAAGCCTTGGGTGTTTGATTAAAGAGAATTTTCAAGCGAACGCCCAACTTGAAAAGTAACCACCCTTCATCTGTGCTGCAGTTGCATCTGTTCAAGCTTTTAGCCTTTGAGTTCGAAGAGGTCTCAGGCGAAAGCTTCACTCTGAAAAGGAATCGACCACCATCCCCGTAGCCGTTGCAAGCTTTTAAGACGGATGTGCGCGGAGCTGAGGCGGAGGCCTCACTTTGAAAAGGGAGCCGCTCCCCATCATCGGCATTGTACATGCAGACGAATTTGCGTGGTGCTAAGGTGAGAATCCCATCTCGAAAACAACCACTTGCAGATTTCAAGTTTCAGGAGTGCACGTGGCCAGGAAGTCTCAGTTGACATGCGCGGCCCGCCCTACCGACACGTCTGGCGGTGCGACCAGGGAGAGTTAATTATAAGGAGAAGGAAGAGGAGGAGGGGGAAGAAGAGGAGGAGGAGGAAAAGGAGGGGGAGGACGGAGAGAAGGAGGAGGAGGAGGAGGAGGATGAGGAGGAGGAGGAGGAGGAGGAGGAGGAGGAGGAGGAGGAGGAGGAGGAGGTATCGTATGGCCGTCATTGCCTCATTGCCTCAGGAGAAGAATGAGATGATGAGGAGGAGGAGGCCGAGGAGGAGGATGAGGGGAGGAAGAAGCGGAGGAGGAGGAGGAGGGGAGGAGGAGGGGGAGGAGGAGGAGGAGGAGGATGGGGAGGAGGAGGAGAAGGAGGAGGAGGAGGAGGAGGAGGAGGAGGAGGAGGAGGAGGAGGAGGAGGAGAAGGAGGTCTCCTCTCTGCCCCCCCCCGTGGCTCTGCCGCGCTTGCGCTTCTCCCCCGCGTGCCTGGCGACTCTGCACAGGTGATCCTCTCGCCCAGGGACATCTCGATGGACCCAGTGGAGATCATCGTGAGCACGGCACGGCAGGGGCAGATGTCGCGACAGGGATGATGATGCAGATGATGATGATGATGATGATGATGATGATGATGATGATGATGATGATGATGATGATGATGATGATGATGCTGATGATGATGATGCTGATGATGATGATGATGCTGATGATGATGATGATGATGATGATGATGATGCTGATGATGATGATGATGCTGATGCTGATGCTGATGCTGATGCTGATACTGCTGCTGCTGCTGATGATGATGATGGTGACGACGATGCTGCTGCTGATGCTAATGATGGTGGTGATGCTGATTATGATCATGATCATTATCATGATTGTGGTGATGATGGTGCTGATGGTGATGGTGATGCTGGCGATGCTGATGATGGTGATGATGGTGATGCTGGTCATGGCGATGGCGACGGTGATGGTGGTGGTGAGGATGCTGGTGATGATGATGATGATGATGATGCTGATGATGATGATGATGATGGTGATGACGATGACGATGATGATGATGGTGACGATGACGGTGATGACGACGCTGATGATGCTTCCGATGATGATGCTGATCATGACGATGATGATGCTGATTATGGTGGTGATGGTGATGGTGATGGTGATGGTGATGGTGATGATGCTTATGAGCGTGACGATACTGCTGCTGATGATGGTGATGATGATGACGATGATGGTGACGATGATGATGATGATGATGATGATGATGATGATGATGATGATGATGATGATGATCATGGCGATGCTGCTGCTGATGATTATCATGACGATGGTGATGATGAGGATGGTGATGGTGATGGTGATGGCGATGATGGTGATGGTGATGATGGCGATGGTGCTGGAGGTGGTGGTGGTGGTGGTGGTGGTGGGGGTCGTGGTGGTGGCGATGTTGATGGTGGTGGTGATGATGATGATGATGATGATGATGATGATGGTGGTGGTGATGATGATGACGATGACGATGACGATAATGACGATGCTGATGATGATGATGACGACGGTGATGATGATGCTGCTGATGATGATGGTATGTAATGGTGACCAGGTTGAGAAGGAGGAGGCGGAGGAGAAGGAGAAGGATGAGACAGCCAGGCGAGAGCGAACGAGATGAATCACGCGGACGACGACGACGACGGCAACGGCGACGACGAGGATGATGATCATTATGCTGGTGCTGCTTGTGCTGATGCTGCTTATGATGATGCTGATGCTGATGCTGATGCTGATGCTGATGCTGATGATGATGATGATGATGATGATGATGATGATGATGATGGTGGTGGTGGTGGTGGTGGTGGTGGTGGTGATGAGGGGGGCCGATGACGCTGCTTACGCTGCTGCTGATGATGGCGATGGCGATTGCAGTGCCAGCGACGATGGTGACGGCGATGGCGATGCCGAATTCGGTGATCAGGAAGGTGCTGATGATGGTGATGGCTCGCCTCGGCTCTGCGGCCCGTCGGCTGCTCCGAGCCTCGACACGCTCCGATGCAGCGCGCGGTTGCGCGCAGGGCCAGACGCTGTTGCCGAGCATGCGATTGGCACTCGGAGGATCGCGTGCGATGTGGCGTCGCCGGCCCGCTATTTGCACGCTCTCCCCCTCCCTGAGGATGGCGTGGTTCGAAGAAGCCCTGGCACGGGCGGATAAGAGTGAGGGGGCGGGCGCGGGCGACGCGGGCGTCGTCGAGCCGGCGGACCTCGTGGTCCCCACCTTCCTTGTCGATGGCGCTCTCCTCCTCCTCCTCCTCCGATTTACATGCTCTCCCCCTCCCTGAGGATGGCGTGTTTCGAGGAAGCCCTGGCAGGGGGATAGCGTGCACAGAAGGGGCACTCGCGGGGGGGGGGCCTCCTCCTCCTCTCCTCCCCTCCTCCCCCTCCCCCTCCCCCCCCTCCTCCTCCTCCTCCTCCTCCTCCTCCTCCTCCTCCTCCTCCTCCTCCTCCTCCTCCTCCTCCTCCTCCTCTCACACAGCGTGCGTTTCGGAAGTCGATGTTGCACGCTGTCCTTCCACCGCCAGTCGAACACCTGGCCAGCCATTTTCCTGTTCGGCCGCGCCTGCGGGCCGAACACGCGCTGAGCCAGCCAGCCAAGACACCACCCTCGGCTGCCGCCTGCGCCCAAGAGGCCAGGCGCTGCTCGGCGCACCGAGAACTCGGCATCGCTCTGACGTGTGCATTTTTCCTTCGGCGAGGACCATCGAGGAGCATCCTTGATCATTTCGCAGTGCTATGGCCGGCGGAGGGCCTCATGTGCTTGAAGGATGTTCTTCTGGCCTAGGTCCGACTGCAATGTATATTTGCGCGGCCCACCCGCGACCCACCCCGCGACCCACCCACATTGCTTCAACGGAAAAGTCGGCGCCTGCGGCGGGCCCATTGTATACTTTGTGAAAACATAGGCGCCTGCGGCGGGCTTCTTCAGAGCCTCGCAGACTGCCGAGGTCCCCGCCGCCCCCTCACTCTTTTCCGCGATCGCGGGGTGCTTCGTACAGTGGAGGCCCGTGCCAAGAAACACCCTGCTTGCCTCCAGGGTGCCCTGGGTCTCGAGGGTGTCGCGACGGAAAGCGTGACGTCCCCACACCAAGAATCGATGGACGTCTTGGGGCCTCAGGGTTTGGAAGATGCCCAGGATGCCCAGGATACCCATGATACCCCAGACACCCAGCATCTGCCTGAGGTATCGCGGATACCTTGGCAAGTGACCCAAGGTACCCAAGATGCCCGATCTACGCGGGGTGCCTACGATACCCAAGGTACCGAGGATACCCAGGCTACCCAGGATATCCAAGATACCCAAGACGTTCAAGATACCCTAGGTACTCAGGCTACCCAGGATATCCAAGATACCCAAGACATTCAAGGTACCCTAGGCACCCGAGATACCTTGTGGAAGGTTTCTTGCGGACATGGCCTCCGCTGTATGCTGGCGCGGTCCCCATGCGGGGGGGGGCAGGAGGGCGCTCCCGCTCGCGCCCGGCCGTCGGGCGCAGAGTCGGGAGCTATATTCTTGGGGCTAAGTCGGGCCTGTCCCACTACAGGAGGAATATTCAAGGATAGTGAAACATAGCCTGGGGACGATTTTTGGACTTTTTTGAAAACGTTTGAATGTTTTTTTGATTATTTTTTGTTTTTCATCCACAATCCGCCTGTAGGGGGACGTGCCCGACCTCATCTTGGGAGCACGGCTGCAAAAATGCGCCGCCAAAAGGGACCATTTTTGGGCGGGGGCGCCGTGGGCAATTTTTCGCGGGGTGTCTCCGGCCACACCGACGAAACCGTCCATCTTTGATCGATTACTACACGTCTTTTGGAAAAGGGGGTGCCGTGTGTCGTTTCTTTCCGACCCCCTTGCGGGGAGTGGTCGAGTTTTTGCTTCATTTTGGAAAATCCAAACCATTCTGTTTTGGTCAGGCGATCGCAAACATGGACCAAGGGGGCGTGGATTAGCGACGGGCCCCGTTTCCGTGGGGAATCGTGGGCTTCTGCCGCCGAACGAGGCGGCACCTGCCGCATGTTGGAGAGGGCAGCTCCCCGAATCCATGGATGTGGCGACCGCGCGCCAAATCCATGGATCGCGAATCCATGTTTGCGCGCCCCCGAGGGGGGAGAGGGAGCGAATGTCAGACGAGGAAAAGGTACCCATACTCTCTACCCTTCGCCCGTTGTGCCCATCTTGGTTGAGCCTCCTGGGAGGCCCTCGTCGCCACCGCTGGATTCGCCCAGAAATTCTGGTCAGAACGCACCCTGGAAGGGGTGCAGGGGGCAGCAGCATCGGTGCCTCTTGGTCTCCCCAGACGGGGTCCCCAGAACGGATCGCCAATCCATGCCTGCGCGCCCCCCGATCTGGGCGCGTCGCCGGGCCCACTTCTGCCAGCCGTGCCCTGGGTGTCTGCCGCTCGCTGTTCCTGCTCAAGGCGTTCCTCTGCAAGCACATCGCCTTCGGCACCGCCCGATTCTTGGGGCTCTGCCCTCTCCTGGCCTTGACGTGAGGCCCCTCCTCCTGTTTTCCTTCCTCTGTTAATGAAGGCTGTGCGCGGCCAGAATGGATCGCCAATCCATGCCTGCGCGCCCCCCCGATTTGGGCGCGTCGCCGGGGCCACTTCTGGCAGCCGTGCCCTGGGTGTCTGCCGCTCGCTGCAACGGCACGCCGCGGGCCTGCCGGGGCCGACCCGGGGCGACGCCCCCGTCCCCACCAGGCCTGCGGCGCCCTCGGGCGCCTCTGCGGTCGCTGCTGTCGGGGGCCTTCCGTCTGGGCTTCAGCCGGGCCTGTCCCTCTACGGGGGGATGTCCAAGCATCGTTTGTTCAACTATTTTTGGACATTCCCCCGGCTATAACATCAAGAACTTAAAACTAGTCGGGGGACGACTTGTTACAACCATTTTTGAATATTATCGGGCATCTTTGGGGTGCTGTTTTTCCCGTCCAAAACCCGCCTGTAGGGGGACACTCCCGACCTAAATCTAGGCTTCCTCGATGGGGTCGGAGTGGATGGGGTCGGAGGATCGCGCCGCATCGCCGACGCATCGCCGCTGCTGCTCGATGTGGAGCCCGATTTGCTTCACGTCGACGTCGCCGATGCATCGCCCACGTCGACGATGCATCGACGGTGCATCGCCGACGCATCGCCGATGCATCGCCGATGTACCGGCGATGCGGCGCGATCCTCCGACCCCATCTACTCCGACCCCATCTAGAAGGTCTAGTTCCGAGGGTGCCAGGATCGTCCTTTTTGGGCGCTTGCGTCGCTTCTCGGCGGCCTTCCAGCCTCGGAAGATGCTTTCAATCAGCTGAGCCTCGCCGAGGTCGTTCCGAGGGTGCCAGGATCGTTCTTTTTGGGCGCTTGCGTCGCTTCTCGGCGGCCTTCCAGCCCCGGGGATGCTTTCCATCAGCTGAGCCTCGCCGAGGTCGTTCCGAGGGTGCCAGGATCGTCCTTTTTGGGCGCTTGCGTCGCTTCTCGGCGGCCTTCCAGCCCCGGGGACGCTTTCCATCAGCTGCGCCTCGCCGAGGTCGTTCCGAGGGTGCCAGGATCGTTCTTTTTGGGCGCCTGCGTCGCTTCTCGGCGGCCTTCCAGCCCCGGGCTATGCTTTCCATCAGCTGCGCCTCGCCGAGGTAGTTCCGTGGGTGCCAGGATCGTCCTTTTTGGGCGCTTGCCTCGCTTCTCGGCGGCTTTCCAGCCCCAGGGGATGCTTTCCATCAGCTGCGCCTCGCCGACGGCGTTCTGAGGGTGCCAGGATCGTTTTTTTTGGGCGCTTGCGTCGCTTCTCGGCGGCCTTCCAGCCCCGGGGACGCTTTCCATCAGCTGCGCCTCGCCGAGGTCGTTCCGAGGGTGCCAGGATCGTTCTTTTTGGGCGCTTGCGTCGCTTCTCGGCGGCCTTCCAGCCCCGGGGATGCTTTCCATTAGCTGCGCCTCGCCGAGGGCGTTCCGAGGCTGCCAGGATTGTTCTTTTTGGGCGCTTGCGTCGCTTCTCGGCTGCCTTCCAGCCCCTGGGATGCTTTCCATTAGCTGCGCCTCGCCGAGGGCGTTCGGGGGGTGCCAGGATCGAGGTCATCGGACATGTTCGGCTGTTCTCGACGGTTTTCTAGCCTCTTGGTACTTTCCACCAGCTGCGCCTCGCCGAGGGCTTTCCGCGGGTGCCAGGATCGTCCGTCTCGGGCGCTTGCGTCGCTTCTCGGCGAGGTGCTTTGCAGCAGCTGCGCCTCGCCGGGGGCGTCCTGAGGGGGGGGTGCCAGGATCGCCCCGAACGGCCGCCAGGGAGCCGAGCTATGACCCGAAGGCGCTGCAGCATCAGAGCGCGTGACCGACCCGCGGCACTCACTCGGCCTGGCCCGGGGGGGGGGCTCGGCACAGGGGCGGCGTGCGCTCGGGGAGCAGTCGAGGCACGCGTTCGGTTCGGCGCTCTCCTGCGAGTGTCATCCTGGCGTCTGGGTTGGAGAGACGGATGGTTGCGTTCCCTCCTGCTCGCTCCACTCCTTGCTGGGGGAAAGAAAAGCGCGGCGACGGTGAGGGATGTCGACCAAACAAGCGAACAACGGCCCTCCATGTGTAGCGTATACCACGCAAGAGCCCGTCCTTCTGTTTCCTGGCCTAGGAGGACGAGGAGGAGGAGGAGGAGGAGGAGGAGGAGGAGGAGGAGGAGGAGGAGGAGGAGGAGGAGGAGGAGGAGGAGGAGGAGGAGGAGGAGGAGGAGGAGGAGGAGGAGGAGGAGGAGGAGGAGGAAGAACACAACGACACCATTGAGCGGCTCGTCGACCTGCGGACACTGTGGCTCTATACTGCCCGCCAGCTCTCGCTTCCTTGCCTGTGCAAGCGCGGCCGCGGGCGCAGCCCACCGGGGCCACGCCGCAGTCCCGGAGGTCCCGTGAGCAGCCGCACAGTCGGAGAAGGAGGAGGAGGAGGGGGATGAGGGGGAGGAGGGGGAGGAGGGGGAGGAGGACCAAGAAGAGGGAATCTGAGGAGAGGGAAGGAGGGGGAGTGAGAGGATTGTAAGGACGGAGGAAGGTCTACAGTAATGAGGAGGATGAGGACGAGGATGAGGAGTAAGAGGAGCAGGAGGGGAGGTGCGGGATGATACGAAGTTTGGAAGAGGAGGAGGAGAAGGAGGAGGAAGAGGAGGAGGAGGAGGAGGAGGGGGAGGAGGGGGAGGACGAGGAGGACGTCGACATGGGCAGGACCTGGACTCGATCAGCCTTACCGACGTGGTCTTCGGCGAGTGCCGCCCTTAGCCCGACCGACAGCGCTGCGGCCTCGCAGCCTCCACTCCGCCACCTACTTCGAGTCTCTTCATCCTCCTCCCCCCTCCTTTTCCCCTTCCTCCTTCTCCTCCTTCTCCTCCTCCTGTCCCTCACCTCTTCGTCCTCCTCCCTTGTCCTGCACCGCACTCCTCTTGTCGGTTTCCCTCTCCTCGTTCTGATCTTCCTTCTCCACTGTCTCGTCTCCTTCTCCTCATCTTCTTCCTCCTTCCCCTCCTCCCTCCTTCCTCCTCTTCATCCTTTCCCTCTTTCCGTCTCGTTCGCTTCCTCCAGCATTCTTCTCGTGCTGTTGCCTGCTTCTGCGGCTCCTCCTCCCCCCCCTTCCCTCGCCTCACCCTCATCGGTGTCCCCCCTCCTCTCCCTTGTGCTCCGTCTGTCCCATCCCTTCTCCTCTTCCTGCTCCTCCTCCCCCCTTAACTCGGCTCGTCGTCCTCCTCCTCCTCCTCCTCCTCCTCCTCCTCCTCCTCCTCCTCCTCCTCCTCCTCCTCCTCCTCTTGCTCCTCATCCTAGTGTTTCTCCGTTGGGAGCACATCGGAAGGTCCAGTCTTCGAGTGGCATCCTGTCCTCCCCCCTCCGCCCTGGCGCCCCTCCCCCCCCTCCCCTGCCCGAGGCTCTACCAGGAGCAGCATGATGGCGATGGCGATGCCGACGGCGATAAGGATGATGGCAATGAGGATGCGAACGATGACGCTGGAGATGATGATGCTGATGCTGATGCTGATGCTCATGCTGCTGCTGATGATGATGATGCTGATGATGATTTTGATGAAGCTCATGCTGACAGTGATACCGGCGACGATTTACGTTGATGGTAGTAGTGACGATGGCGATGTTGACGATGGTGATGGTGATAAGGATGATGAGTGATGAAGAATATTGTGATGCGGATGCGGATGCTGCTGCTGATGCAGGTGACGTTGCTTACGATATTGACGATGCTGATGGTGATGGTACTGAATGTGGGGATGCTGATGTCGATCACGATGGCGACATTGATGGCGGGTGTGATGACGGTGATGATGGTGATTCTGATATTGATGTTGACGATGCTCATGCTGGTACTGATACCGATGCTGATTATGATGCTGCTCACGACGGTGAGATTGGTGTTGATGATGATGGTGAGCATGGTGGCAATAGTGGCGGTGATGAGGCTGATGGATGGTGATTCTGATGGCGATGCTTGTGATGCCAGCGATGCCGATGCTGACGACGATAAAGATACTGATTGCAATAGTGACGGTGCTGACGACTATGACGGTGGCGATGACGACGATAATGATGATGCTGCCGATGATGATGAAGATAATGATGACGATGATGATGCTGGTGATGCTGGCGATGATGTTGATGGTGGTGATGACGATGATGGAAGTGGTGATGATTATGATGATGTTGATGGTGATGACGATGCTGATGATGATGTTGATGATGATGACGATGCTGATGATGATGCTGATGATATTGATGAAGCTGATGCTGATAGTGATACCGACGCGATTTACGTTGGTGGTAGTGGTGACGATGGCGATGCTGACGATGGTTATGGTGATAAGGATGATGAGTGATGAAGAATATTGTGATGCGGATGCGGATGCTGCTGCTGATGCAGGCGACGTTGCTTACGATATTGACGATGCTGATGGTGATGGTACTGAATGTGGAGATGCTGATGTCGATCACGATGGCGACATTGATGGCGGTTGTGATGACGGTGAAGAGGATGATTTTGCTATTGATGCTGACGATGTTCATGTTGGTAACCGAGTGCGGGCGATAATAAAGCCCCCCCCCTTAACCCCCTCCATTTTTATTGGGCTGGCCTCCGGCCAGTGCCGCCGATCCGGGGGGGCTCCGGAAGTGAAATTTTCTATACCCGCCTGTCCCTGGGCACCCAAAAACGTCGGAAACGACGTCGGAAATATCCCCGTGTACCGAAGCACGTCGGAAATGACGTCGGAAATAACGTGCCCCCCCCCCTTCCCCTGCAGAGCGAAGCTTGAGCGAGCTCAAGTCCACGCTCTCAGAAACTCACACGCCGGATCGGCGGATTCCCGACCACAGGGATTTATCTGTGGGGATGGCGCGGAGGCCGAACTTTATAATCCACGGAAAAGTTGCGGGGATCGAAGTTGCTATCATATCAGGTTGATTAGCAACAGCATCAAAGAACGCTGAGCGTGGCCATGGTGGTCTCACCACACCAGCTTCCGCAATCACGAGCTTGTGGCAGGGCTGTGGGATTCTCACCAGTTGAGTTTGCCCACGTTACGACCGTGCGGCAGAGCCATGGGATTCTCATTTTCTTCGCCGTTCCCGAGTCTGGAGCGTGTGGCAGGGCCATAGGGACCGATTGGATTTTGATTATGTATGCGTTTTCTTCGAGCAGTCAGAGCATTGGAGTTAGTTAGTTCAGTGAATTACTTTTTAAGCGCACCAATCACACGCAGCTGCCCAGGCCCAAGTTTCCCCGAGTCTCCGAGACTCCAAGCTTTCGGGCCTCTTTGAGTCGCCGAGCCTCTTCGCCCCAGGGGCAGCGATAGGGGGGGTAGGCGTGCCTATGCATCGGCGATGTATCGCCGATGCAGAGGCATTGGGGGGGCCATCGACTTGGAATCTGCGATACATCGCCGATGCATCGGGTGCGCATCGCCGACATCGGCCATGTATCGCCGATTCCAGGTCGATGTCCACCCCAATGCCTATCCCCTCACATCGTTGCCCCTGGTTGCGTCGCGAGCTCCAGCGATGGCCCAGCCCGCCGAGCGCGCAGCTGCCGCGAGCCTCCCCGCCGAGGCGCTGAAGCACGTGGCGGCGCCGAGCCCGAGCTCGAACGAGATTCTCGAGCGCACTGCCAAGCAGAGCAAGAAGATCCTCGAGAAGCTGTCCTACGTCGCCGAGAAGGCCTCCATCGCCGAGATGCGCCAGTTCCAGTCGAGCGCGCAAGGCGCGGATACAGCGAGGATGACGAGCTGCTACTTCAAGGCCGAGAGCTCCTTGTGGTCGTCGAGCGCCCAGCAAGCAGTGCTCGAGATGGTGTGCCAAGGCGGGTGCTACAAGAGAATCGGGCACGGCCGCATCTTCAACGAGAAGGACAAGAGGCGCATCGAGCTGGCCGTGGCGGTGTTCTTCAAAACCTACGCCGAGAAGGGCGAGCGCGTGCATGACATCTTCGAGAACCACGGGGGGCCGCCCGAGGACCTCTTCTGGCTCATGCCGGCCTTAGGGCCAAGCTGCAGGGGCTCGCCAAGAAGAGTGACATGGAGCTCGGCGCCGAGAACGTCAGGAAGCTGACCCACGGCTCCAACGCCGGGCGCGTCGGGTATGCCCTCCCAAGCATCCCCGCCGAGCTCCTCCACCTCCACGAGCTAGTGCTGCCGCTCAGCAAGAAGTTCGAGCCCGTCGAGCACTTGGACGAGAGGCCCGCCGGGGGTGCCGAGATGCTCGTCAAGGTGATTCCGCGCAGGGCCCGAGAGTACGTCAGGTGGTGCAACGAGACCTCCGCGGTCTCGATCGCGTCCGACGGGGTCGCCAAGGCCGCCACTCAAGCAATTATCAAGTGGTGCTGGTCCATCAAGAAAGCCGCCGACATGAGCTGCGAGCTGCGCGAGCAGAGCTACCAAGGCAAGCGCGCCAAGCGGGACCACTCGAAAACCGTCAAGCAGCAGCAGCGCGAGCAGGTGCTTCTCGAGAGCCACATCGAGCTGCGCCTCGACAAGATTGCGTCGATCCAGGCCGAGTGCGACAAGCTCACCATGAACAATCGCGATGGCGAGAGGGGCCAGGCCGACGCGAAGGCCGAGTAAGCGCCCACCTCGTTCACGCTGAGCGCATGAGCTCCCCGAGCCAAGTGCCCAGTGCTTTTCGTTGCGAGGGTGCCGTTTCGAGGCGCGCGCTCGAGCCCCTTCTGCTTTTCAAGCTCCAAGGGGGCGCTCGAGCACGCGCGAGTGGCGTTTCCAAGCTGCGGGGTGCGACTCCCCCCTCTCGCCGGGTGGTCCTCGATCAAGCATCGAGGAATCAAGCGGGCTAGATCCTCCATCCTCGGATCGATGGTCCGAGCATCTTCGGGTACCGTGGGTCCTAGATCCGAGGGTCGCCAAGCTTGGGCTCGAAGATCTCGGGTCCACGATCCGAGGATCGAGGGTCGAGCCTCGGCGATCCTCGATCGTCGCGCTGCCATCGAGCATGTTCGATCCTCCATCCTCGGGTCGAGGATCCGAGATCTTGAGTCCGAGCATCTTCAAGCACCTTGGGTCCTAGACCCGAGTGTCGCCAAGCTTTTTCGAGGATCTCGGGTCTGACGCCCGAGACTCGAGGACCGAGCACGAGCGATAGTGGATCGCCCTCGCCGCCGTCTTCGAGCCCACGCTGCCGCCGAGCAGGCTCGACCCTCCATCCTCGGATCGGGGATCCGAGGTCTTGGTCTTGAGCATGTGCGAGCACCTGGGATCCTGGATCCGAGGGTCGCCAAGCTTGGATTGGAAGATGTCGTGTGCATCCGAGGCTCGAGGGCCGAGCCTCGGCGATAGTAGATCGCCCTTCTCTCCGTCTTCGAGCCCGCGCTGCCGCGGAGCAGGCTCGACCCTCCATCCTCGGATCGAGGATCCGAGATCTTGGTCTTGAGCATCTGCGAGCACCTCGGATCCTAGATCCGAGGGTCGCCAAGCTCGGACTGGAAGATCTCGTGTTCGACATCCGACGCTCGAGTACCGAGCCTAGTTAGTGCTCCTCTGGTCGCCCTCGGGCCCGCGCTGCCACCGAGCAGGCTCGATCCTCCATCCTCGGGTCGAGGATCCGAGATCTTGGTCTTGAGCATCTTCGAGCACCTCGGATCGTAGATCCGAGGATCGCCAAGCTTAGACTCGATCCGAGGGTCGAGGGTCGAGGGTTGAGCCTCGACACCTGGCGGCCGCGCGCGCAATCGCGCATCCGCGCGTTCGCGCGTTCACACACGCACTCA